CTCTCGCGCCGCGCCGCCTTCCCCGCTCGCCTTCCCCGCTCGCGACGACCTTCGCTCACGGCCTCCCGCATTGCGTCCCGCCCTCACCCTCTCCCTCCTCGGTCTGTCCCTCTTCCCTCTCTCTTCCTCCTCCCTCTCTTCCTCTCTCTTCCTCTTTCTTCCTCTCTCTCTCTTCCTCTCACTCTCTCTTTCTCCCTCTCTTTCTTCCCTCTCTTTCTTTCCCTTTCCCTCTCTCTCCCCTTCGCCCTCCCTCCCTCTCTTTTTCCTTCTCTCTTCCTCTCTCTCTTCAGCTCTCTCTCTCTCTCTCTCTCCCATAACCAGTCCCTCTCGCTGCCATTCCCACATCCAATCTCGTCCTTAAAATCGAACTCTCCTCATTACTTCAATACCTGATCCCCCAACCTACTCCAGCTGTTCTACTTACTATCTGCCGTCGCTGCCTTCCTCACTTATCACTATATTCTTATTTCTTCGTTCAGTCTCCACCTTATTATTCCGTCCCTCATATCTTCCTCACTATTAGCCTCATCCCTTCTTCCCACCTACCAACCTGCTCTCCAAGAAGCTCGCCTTATTGTCTACCTGCTTTCATTCCAGCTCGATCACCTTCCTCTCTCATACACCCACCACCTCCATTCTTGCCTTTTCTTCGTACTAGACCGATGAGCGTCCGCCCGTCCGCTCCGTAACACACACCCGCCGGCCGTGTTCCCGCACATCTGCCCGTCGCCCAGGCGCTCTCTGCCGCCGTTCTTTCTTTCTCTCGTGCTGCCGCGGAGCACGTGCCGCGACTCGCCTCCCGGCCTCCCCCCCCCCCCTTTCCGAGTCCCACGCGCCCGCCCTGCTTCCTGTCACCGGCGCCCGCCCACGCGTCGCCTTTTGTTTCGCCAGCCAATTCGCCCGCCCGCGCGCGCGCCCTCGCTTTCCATTTGCGCCCCTCCCCCTGCTACTCCCCCGCGCTCGCGCCAGCGCCGCCCTCGTCCGCCCACGACACGCACACGACGCACCAGGCACGTTTCTTGGGCCACGCAAAATGCTGTGGGACTTGTCACGCGGCTACTCATTAGAACAACTACCTAGTTAATGATCGGCGTTGGGTTTTCATTATCATTCACATTCACTTCATTAATTTGTCGTAGGGAGTAACCATGAATTAAGAGTAGAAATGCTATTCAATATAAAATATGAGATAAAATAAATGTTTAAAACATCATAATCAT